TTTTTTGTTACTTTAATTTACTTTATTTTGTTTTGCTGATTAGCGACGAGGCAACCACAGCGTCGTCCACGTTCTGCCTGCGGCAAGAGAAGGACGACCAGAAGGTGGTGCTCGAGGACAAGGACCTGGAGGTGATCGGCTCGCCCATCATCAAGTACGGCGACAGCACGGTGCTGCTGCAGCACTCCGAGACCGGACTCTGGCTCACATACAAGGTACCCGTCATCGCGGTGGAGTTAGGATACGACGATGTATAGCGGCCGACCCGCGGGCCTGCGCCGCCACCGCCGCCACAGGACCGACTATATCCACGCTTTGTGGTTCGTTTCCCTTCTTCCAGTCATACGAAACGAAGAAGAAGGGCGTCGGCAAAGTGGAGGAGAAACAGGCCGTGCTGCACGAGGAGGGGAAGATGGACGACGGCCTGGACTTCAGCCGGTCGCAAGAGGAGGAGTCCCGCACCGCCCGCGTCATCCGAAAGTGCTCTTCCCTCTTCACGCAGTTCATCGTGTGGGTACCAGTTATTTTTTAGGCGCGTTTAAGGACGACAGCAGTGCTGTCACAGCACGTTATTTCCGACGATACAAATTTGATCTTTTTATGTTGATCTCAATTTGAGAAAGAACATTTCAAAAATAAAAATAAAAGAAAGAACTCAAGGAAAGAACAAACAGCGCGCCGAGATACTTTTGCCGCACAGGAAACAAGAAACAGCGAACAGCCGCGCCGCGCGCCGCAGATGTTCATTTGTTGGGTGTTATTGTTTACATTTGAATTTCGAGCGGGTGCAGGTCTTGCCGTTTTACGGACTTTCGTCATTTGTAGAACATTTTTCTTCCCAACGTTTATGTTCGTTCAATGGCATTTATTTCATGCAAATTATTCATGACAGTGTCACTAAAGATACATGCACCCGTGGAGCGATTGCTGATACGTGCCTCTTAACCTTCCTATCACCGGTTTGTTTACATCTTGTCTTCTGAAGTGTTTTCCTCAGCAGCTGCTATGCCTATTTTTAAAAAATCTGTTTACGATAATATTGTTCATTCCTTTCGCTATCTAACTGACGTAAATTTTGTTTTCGTTTCAGAGGGTTGGAGACTCTGCAGATGAATCGCAGACACTCAGTTTTCTGTCAAACCGTCAACTTAAGCGAAATGGTCATGTGTCTTGAAGATTTGATTAACTACTTTGCTCAGCCTGAAGAAGACATGGGTATGTATATCCTCTTTCCCTTTCTCACTTTCTCTCTGTTATAATCGGTTAATGTGAGAGTTTGGTTTTCTTTAACAGAGCATGAGGAGAAACAAAATCGCCTTCGTGCCTTAAGAAACCGCCAAGACTTATTCCAAGAAGAAGGAATTTTGAATTTAATTTTGGAGGCAATTGATAAAATAAATGTGATAACCTCTCAAGGATTTCTGGTTGCCCTTGCTCGAGATGAATCAGGACATAGCTTTGAAATCATCTCTGCATATTTGTATCAGTTACTAGGTATGCAGTTATTTTTCTTTCTTACTAGTTTCTCTTTTAGTAGGTTTTGAAAATTGATTTTGAAAATTATCCTTTTATTCACAGCGGCTATCATAAAGGGAAACCATACCAATTGTGCTCAGTTTGCAAATTCAAATCGTTTAAATTGGTTATTCAGTCGACTAGGCTCACAGGCATCCAGTGAAGGAACTGGAATGTTGGATGTATTGCATTGTGTGCTCATTGATTCTCCTGAGGCTTTGAACATGATGAGAGTATGTTTTAAGTACACATTCACTTACCCTTTTCTGCTTTAATTTTACATTTAGTTTTACATTAATTTTGCTGTTTTACTTCAGGATGAACATATCAAAGTAATTATATCCCTTCTCGAGAAACATGGAAGGGATCCCAAAGTTCTCGATGTTTTGTGTTCCCTCTGTGTTGGTAATGGTGTTGCTGTGAGGTCTTCACAGAATAATATATGCGACTACCTGTTGCCTGGTAAGAATCTTCTGCTACAAACCCAGCTGGTGGACCACGTTGCCAGGTAGGTTTCCTTATTTGATCTTCTTATGTTGAGGAATTATACTGTTTTTTAGCAGTATGTAAGAAAAACAAACATCACAATTTTTCAGCATACGCCCCAATATTTTTGTTGGCCGCGTTGAGAACTCTGCTGTGTATCAAAAATGGTATTTTGAAGTAACAATGGATCACATTGAGCAAACAACTCATATGATGCCTCACCTTCGTATTGGTTGGGCTAATACATCAGGGTATGAGCAATCCACAGATATTATATAAAAATAAAAAAAAGCATGGTTAGATTATGTCATTATTTTTAATGTTTTTTCATTTATAGATATGTTCCATACCCTGGTGGTGGTGAAAAATGGGGAGGTAATGGTGTTGGTGATGATCTCTACTCCTTCGGTTTTGATGGAGCCAATCTTTGGAGTGGTGAGATATTGATTTCCATGTCCTTTCCCACTTATTTTGAACTTCGTGTATCTAAACATGTTTTTGATAAGAGTTGACATGTATTTTAAAGGTGGCAGGAAGACTTTGGTCATTGCTGGAGCCAGTGAACCTTTTATTAGGAAGGGTGATGTCATTGGCTGTATGCTAGACCTGACTGTTCCAATTATCAGCTTCACCTTCAATGGCATGCGAGTTCCAGGTTCATTCCGTAAATTTAATTTGGACGGAATGTTCTTCCCTGTAATGAGCTGCTCATCAAAGCTAAGGTCAGATTTCTTTTTAAGAAAAAGATTGTAATTTTTATGATAATTCTACCTCTGATTTTTCATTTATTGTAATTCTTTTAGTTGCCGTTTTCTTCTTGGAGGAGATCATGGTCGTCTCAAGTATGCACCCCCAGAAGATGACTTTTCGCCATTAGTAGAGAGCTTACTGCCTCAACAACAGTTATCTCTAGATCCTTGCTTCTATTTTGGTAATCTGAATAAAAGTGTTCTTGCTGGACCATGGCTAATTGAAGATGACACAGCATTTGTGCCAACTCCTGTTGATACTGCAATGGTAATTCTTCTCCTCATTATTTTATGATATTTTACAATGCTCATGAAACTGTGCAAAGTTCTACAATGTGGATGTGCTTTTCTTTCCAGATAACTCTGCCTAGCTACATTGAGAGCATTCGAGACAAACTAGCTGAAAACATTCACGAAATGTGGGCCATGAATAAGATAGAGGCTGGCTGGTCGTTTGGAGAGAGACGTGAAGATATGCGACACATTCATCCTTGCCTGGTGCAATTTGACAGGCTTCCTCCTGCAGAAAAGCGCTATGATTCTCAGCTAGCTGTGCAGACTTTAAAGTGTGTAATCTATTTGTCTCATATGTCTGCTTATGAAAATTCAAGTTTGCTGTGTTCCTTTTTTTCATTTTGTGCACTTTTTTTTTAAAGGACAATTTTATCTCTGGGCTATCACATAACTATGGATAAGCCTCCTTCCAGAATTAAAACTGTTCGTTTACCAAATGAACCATTTCTGCAATCTAATGGATACAAACCAGCTCCACTAGACCTTTCAGCGATCACCCTCACTCCAAAACTAGAGGAGTTAGTTGACCATCTTGCCGAAAATACACACAACTTGTGGGCCAAAGAACGAATTCAACAAGGATGGACTTATGGTCTCAATGAGGTAAGCTGCTTAATTTTTGTTGATGCGAATCGGCGACTTGCGTAGTCTCTGATGTTTTTCTCTGTACTTGATTTGCATTGCTCAGGACTCAGAGATGCTTCGTAGTCCTCATCTTGTGCCGTACGTGAAAGTGGATGAGGCCATCAAGAAAGCTAACAGGTTTGTTCGAAAACTGTACTTTACCTCCCTTTTATCCAAGATCACTTTTCAAATAATGTGTTTTATTTCAGGGATACAGCAAGTGAGACTGTTCGAACCCTATTAGTATATGGATATGTTCTTGACCCCCCAACAGGAGAGGCACATGAAGGTATATTTTGTTTGTTTTATATTCTAGAAATTGTAATGGGTTTTACTTATGTGCATATTTTCTCTTTTCTCAGCTCTTATGGCTGAAGCTGGCCGAAGTCTGCAGGCATCCTTCAGAACTTACAGAGTTGAGAAGAACTATGCCGTAAGCACAGGAAAATGGTTTGTATCTCCCTCCAATTAAAATAAAAGAGAATGGATTATACTCATGTATACTTTATTGATACTTTATTGAAAGACAATTTGCATGTGTTCCAGGTACTTTGAATTTGAAATTCTGACTGCTGGTCCTATGCGTGTTGGTTGGGCCCGTGCTGATTGCAACCCTGGCTGTATGCTGGGAAGTGATGAATATACTTGGGCCTTTGACGGATATAATGTAAGTACAATTTTGTTAAATTTGCAGATGGGTGATTTTGATGGAATCAAATTAAATTTGATAGCACTTGCCTTACAATGCTCCACAGGTGAATATCTATGTTTAGATTTTTTTTTCAGTCTTTGTAATAGGGTTGCAGTATCTTTCTTTTCATACACACTGCTTCTTACTTTACATTTTCTTTTAAATGAGTTGTGGAAGTTGTTTCCACTAAATTGACCAAGGCAAATGGCTTTCTAATTTTCTGTATTTCATTGTATGACAACAATTTCCCCTGTTAATTATGATGGATCCAGGCTATGAAGAAGCACATGGGATTAAGTGAACCATTCGGTAGGCGGCCAAATGTTGGGGACATTGTGGGCTGCTTCCTAGACTTGTATGATAATACCATCTGTAAGTGCCCAGTTCCCTCACTGACATGCAAAAGTTTGCTCACCAACTTTTTAACCAACACTTTTTGGTTGTCCCACACAGAGCTTGCTCTGGTACATTTTGCGCATCCCATGTTCTAAAATTGGACAAAGTCAAAAATGAACATGGACTTTGTATTGCAAGCTTGGTCCTATTCCCTGCTCGGAGCCTAAAGCCTGTCATCCTAAAGTGTACTCAGTGTATTCATCTGTGTATTGTCCCTGTTTTTTCCATGGTGCATTTAGCATACAATGACCCATTCCTTTTGTGTGCAAATCATTCTATTGTCAGGTTTTGTTTTTTTCCTTTTTTTTTTTTTTAAAAAAAAAAGGTAATTTTTTGATTTTTAAGTCCAATTAAATGTGAAAAAAATCCTTAAAATTTTGATTAGCTGTAAGCTGATGAAATTTTGAAAAACACAGAATCTTAGTGTTCTTTCCCAGCACATCTTTCAGGCTTCATTAAATTAGTTCAGGTGATCCTAATTGTTTTCCATGGTGTAGGTAAACAATTCTTTACAGAACAATGTCGAACAGAATATTTAGATTTCACTCTGCCTGACAGTCGAAGAGAAGGCTTTGCAAGGAGCCCACTCAAATAGACTGATGGGCAGCACCATGCTTTCCTGGACAGCATTGATGGTAAAACATTCTATCACTTTATTCTTCTGCTTGAAGGAGGAGAAGGTTTATAATGGACTGGCTGAGTCCTTTGGCCGTCAGTGTCAAGTTGGGGACGTGGTTGGGGTGTTCCTAGATCTGATTGATCGTACCATCAGTAAGTGCTGTCCTAGTCTTTGTGGCTTACCAAATGCTTGTCTTTCCTCAATAAAAACAAAAAACAAAAAACAAAAAATAGTCCTGACGGTTTGCTATGTATCCTATTCTGCCCAATGTGCAGATGTCTTTTGAGTGCTTCACTTTGATCATGCTTTGATTGCAGCATCAAGAACAATTAACTTAAGCTGGTTTTGGCGTCTGTTTACTTTTGGTTGTAAAAGTTTAAAGTTTTGATCTTTTACCTAGAACTGCTAACCTCATTAAATCCACTTATTT